AGGGGGTGGGGTGGCAGGGGGGAGGACCTTCGCCGGTGGTATCGTCATTAATACGATGCATTACCCAGTCTACTCCGGACTCAGACTTCTCTCCACTCCACTTGACTCCACTCGACTCGACTCCGGCTCGCCTCCACCTCGCTTCCGCCTCCGCCTCCGCCTCCGCCACCGTCTCTATCTCTACCTCTGCCTCCTGCCTCCTGCCTCCTGCCTCCGAGACTACGACTCGACTCAACTCGACTCTCGGCTCGGCTCCACTTCGTTCCACTTCAACGCACACTGTATATCTACGTCCAACTCGTCCCTGTTCGACGACCCTCCAAGCACACCGGCTTACACGTTCCTGCGGAAGGTGTCTCTCTGTTCTCTTCTCTTTCTCTCTCTCTCTCTCTCTCTCTCTCTCTCTCTCTCTCTTTCTTCGCTTCTATAGCAAACCAAGACGTTCGAGGACGAGAGAGAATAACCGAATCCATCTTACGCTCCGTGACTCTCTCGTTGTCTTTCTAAACAATGCACCTTCGCTTGAATATCTTCGACAACTGAGGAGATTTCCTTCGAAAATCACCGATCGTTTGTACTTTAACAAACGGAATGAAGCTATCCAAATATTTTTCCCATCCCTTTAAACTCTTCCTCATCCTCCTCCTCCTTCTTCATTTTCTTATCTTTCTCCTCCTCCTCCTCCTCCTCCTCCTCCTCCTCCTTCTTCTTCTTCTTCTTCTTCTTCTTTTTCTAATATCTCTTTCAAATGGATTTTTCTTTATTTCTTCCTTTTTTTCTTTGTCACAGTGAGAGATCACTATGATCGGCTCAATTCGGATTGGTCGCCTCTGGCGAAACTATTGCCACCCTTCTTCCGCCCTCCGTATTCGGATTTGCGGTTCGCCATTGAAACCGCTATCCCATCAAAATTTTTACACTGCCAATTGCAACGCCCTCGCTGCTGTTTAATTATGCTTTTAACGGAGTACACTTGACGATTGTGGGCGAGTGGAACAAGTGAGATGGATAGGAAGGGGGGACGGGGGGAGGTTAGGATGAAGAGGAAAAGCGAAAGTGTGAGAAGAGAAATGGTTTTGTTAATTTCCACGTGACGTTTAATGAGACGGATATTGATATAAAAAAAGAAAATATACATATACATATATGTATGTATGTATGTATATATACGTGCTACAATATGTTTATATAAAAATTTTTTTGCACGTCAATTTTCATTTCTTTTCCTTCTATACTCATTGTTAACGTTTAACGAGATTCGTGATAAAAGATTTTAATTATCTTATATATATATATATATTTATTTATTTATTTATTTATTTATATTATATATATACATGTATATAATATAATATATTTATACAGCTAACCTTATAGAACGTATTCAAAAGTAATAAGGAAACTGCCGCTACTATTAAATTATAGTTCTTATTAATTATAATTCATTGCGGGACGAAGAAAGTTTCGAAAGAGATTGGTAGAGCCAGTTAGAGTTTCAAAGAATATATCCATGGTATTAGGATGTTCGTTATCCGGTCTCATCTCCCTTCATTTCTCTCTTTCTCTCTCTTTCTCTATTTATCTATCTTTCTCGTTCGTTCGACTTAAGCCACGCGTCTTTCGCGGATTCCGTACTTCGTAAGGTCGTACGGTGAAGCTTCGTTTTCGAGTTCTTCCACGAGGTACAAAACTCGTTCTCGTTTTTAAGAAGGGAGATAGACGATGCCGAGCGGTCCTGCGGTAAGCCAGGGTGTCCTTTGTCGGAAGGATGGGAGAAAACCGCAGAAAAGTTGCTGGCAATGAGCTGTGAGCAGAAAAGAAAGAGGACGATATCTAGTCTCTCTTTCTCTCTTTCTCTCTTTCTCTTTCTCTTTTTCTCTATTTTCTCTCTCTCTCTCTCTCTCTCTCTCTCTCTCTCTCTCTCTCTCTCTCTCTCTCTTTCTTTCTCAGTGTAAGCGCGTGAAAACTCTAAAACCAAACTTTCGGTTGTATAAAGAGTGGGAGTACATATGTATATACGTATATGTGTGTGTGTGTGTGTATGTATGTGTATATATATACGTTTAAATGAAACTCGGATAGAGCATCGTTCTCCCTTTGTCCCCATGAACGGGCTCACGCCTTTTACAGGCGGTGCACGTTAGTTCCTCGAACGACGACGAATCGAAACTTTCCATCTCTCTCTCCTTGCTCTCTTTGCTCTCTTTGCACTCTTTGCTCTCTTTCTCTCCCTTTCTCTCTTTCAGTCTTATTTTCCACGTGATTGATCCTTTCGAAAAATTTTTCTAAGGGAGGAAAAAAGTAGAACATGGTATAAAAGTACGAAGAAAGAGTCTATGGATTTAATAAACCGAAGAGAAATCGATACATCGATTGTATCGAAATAAGAAAAAAAAAAAAAGAGAAAAGAAGAAGAAGAAGAAGAAAAAAAGAAAAAGTAAAAGAATAACGACGACTAAGTTCTCTTTAATATAATTGTAGAATTGGATTTAATATATATTTATTATTTATCGCGATTTAAAGGTAATCGTTTTAAATTGATCCAATTAATAATGAACGTGGTAATAAAAGATATATCCATTTTATTATTTATTACAAATCAAATTCGATTAAGATCAATGCCAATTTTTTTTTTCTTTTTTCTTTTTTTTTTTTTTTAAATCTCCGATGAAGAACACGATATGAATTACGATAAACGTGAAATTTATTATCACCAAATATTATATAATATATTATATCTTTATCATAAATATACATTGAATTGGCGAATAATCATTTGACGAATATTTACAACGATATAGAAAAATATTACTCCACGAGATATATTAACTATTAAACGATTGCAACTTTGACATGAGACGATAAACAAAGTTTCACGATTTTGCACTATGAAACACGCATCAAGAATCTTCTTCTGTATACGACAAAGAGATTCGAGTAAAAGATAACTCGCGCGAATGATGCGCATAACATAAAGTGGGATAAGAAGAAACGATGTGCTATGAATAAAACGGGAAAGTCTCTTGGCAAAAAAGAGAGAGAGAGAGAGAGAGAGAGAGAGAGAGAGAGAGAGAAAGAGAGACAAAGAGTAAGAGAAAGAGAAGTAAATGACACCGAAGACGTTGTGGCCTAGAATTAGGCGAGTTTATTACCTAGAAGGTAGTAGAGAAGTTACCTCGAGATAGTGCACTCACTTGTAACAAAAAGAGACAGAGAGAGAGAGAGAGAGAGAGAGAGAGAGAGATAGCCTTTCTCAGGACTCTCTTACTCCCTCTCCCTTCCTCTCTTTCTCTCTCTCTCTCACTCTCTCTCTCTCTTGCAAAAGCTTTCGTTATCGCGGATTTGTTCATCCAAGCGACACAAAATCTCTCTACTTGTTCTCCTTCCTCTCTCCTCTTTCTTCTCTTCTCCTCTATCTGCACCATCTATCTTCTCTATCTAGCCATCTACCTATCTATCTAAGCAATCCCTCTCTCTCTCTCTTTTTCTCTCTCTCTCTCTCTCTCTCTCTCTCTCTCTCTCTCTCTCTCTCTCTCTCTCTCTCTCTCTGTCTGTCTGTCTATCTCTCTTTAGCACATTTCCACAGCATTTCCTATCTTTCTTTTTTTTTTTTTTTTTTTTTTTTTTCTTACGTTCCTAGTGTCGAAAGATGAGAGATATCGAAGCAAGAAAAGAAGTCTAGAAGATTGCAGTAGCTACGGAACGAAGGAATCTTCTCTCTCTCTCTCTCTCTCTCTCTCTCTCATTCACTCACTCACTCACTCACTCATTCATTCACTCTCTTTCTCCCTCTCTTTAAGAGGGTGAGCGCAAGCGTGGTTTCGCTTGTAAGCTTCCTCAAACAAAGTGAGGGGTGAGTAAGCTTGAAGGTTGAGGGAACGAATGGAGGATAACGTTACGGGTTGTTCGGGCCCGTAAAACTATTCAAGACTCATTGACCTCCTGTCTAACTAACGTTCAAGCAGCAAAAAAAAATATATATATATATATTCTCTCTCTCTTTTTTCTGTCTTTAATGATCAAAATAACATTAAAAATAAAAAGTTAATGTTTCAATAAAAATTAATAATGTTTTTATTCGTCAAAAAAAAATATATATATATATATATATCCAAATACTCTGAATTATTACTCTATCGTAAATAAATAACTCGATCTATACGAAATAAAAATAGGAATGTTTCGTTATATTCATAATTTCATACATTTATTCGATTCTCCATTAATTTTTGAATATTTCATCGTGACGATTGAAATGTAAAGCTATATCAATCACTATATTACAAACGAAATCATTCCATCATTCTTTATTATTTTCAAAGGAGTAATAAATTTATCCGTTAGGAGGGTTAAACGAATCATTGGGAAGAATCGAAATTAAATGAGGTGGCATTCGTTGAGGGAGATTTAAACAAGTATCTGGATATCCAATTCGATTGGATACTTCTAGACTTCGGATATCCGAAGATCCGAGCAATAGTAAGACCACCTACTACAAATTGATCTTTCTTTCTATCTATCTCTATCTCTTTCTACCTCTATCTCTTTATTTTTCTCCACGTTCACCGTGAGAAGAGCGTAGAGAAATTCGTTTACTTCGCGTTAGTTAGAAAGGGAAAATAAGAGTTTCTGATCGAGAAATCGTTAGGGTGGGATTGTTTGTTCTCTAACGACATTGAATGATTTCACCTTCGAAATGAATAATTCGAATTCGATTGGCATGACGTGTTGGTTGGTAAAGTGCATTTTCTCGTGCGAATATAATGTCGATTAAATAGCGAACGAACGATTTCGAAAAAAAAAACGAGAGAGAGAGAGAGGGAGGGAGAGAGAGAGAAAGAGAGAGAGAGAAAAAAAGAAAAAGAATAAAAAGAAAAAATAGAGACAAAAAGATCGTGATAGGTAAAATATAAAGATAGCCGTTAGTTAGAAAGCATTGTTTTCGTTATTTAAAAATGGCCAATGAAAATTCAATGATCTTAAAATCTCTTTTGTTTCAGGTAAGTAGACCCAGAAGCTGTCCCGTGGCCATAACAGACGTTCAGGAGGAAGTTTCTAACGCCAAACCGATGTGGGTGTGTATGCGCGTATGTGTGTTGCATTCGAGACCAATAGCGTAAGCGTATTTATCGACTTTTTAATGAACGATGAAGCTTTAACGATTTTTTTCCTTTCCCTCTTCCCCCCCCCCTCTCTCTTTCTCTCTCTTTCTCTTTTTTCTCTTTTCTTTTCTCTTCTTTTTTCCTTTTTTCCCCTCCTCTTCTCCTTGTTTTTTTTTTTTTCACTATGCGCGCACAGAGGAATGATAAAATATTTACGATCTTTTTTCTTTTTCGTTTTTCTTTCTTTCTTTCTTCTGTTCTTTTATTTTTTTTTTCTTTTTTTTTTCTTTTTTTTTTTTTTTTTTCTTTTTAATTTCTTACTCTTTTTCATGAACGAAGAGTAATGAAAGTTATATCGGTGGGAAACACACACGAAAAAAATAAATAAAAACAAACGCAAAAAAATACGGAACGTAACAAAAAACAAAATCAAGAAAAAGAAAATGAAGGAAAAGTTTGACAGAATTTTTTACTCTGAAATATATATATATATATATGCAAGATACAAAAGCTGTAATTATATTTGCGAGTTCCGGCAAACGGATAAAGGCATTCAAGGTATCTCGCAAAGTTTGCCACGAAATATTCTCTCACGGTTTTAAAATTCCGTTGTAAGGTTAATGGCAAAGTACGTAGTACATAAAGCCGAGGTTAGAAAGAACTGGTAGAAAACGTTAGAAGGGATTTTTGCTGTTTCGGCATTTGACCAATGCATTCTATACGAAGAAAGGAGTTTTTCCCCTTTTCATCGTCGTTCGGTCCTTTTTCCACATTTGTAAATGCTATTACCGTATAAACTTTCAACGTTAACAAAATCGTGCCAAGTGCAAATATCGCTTCTACGAAAGTTTGAAAAGCGTGGAAAAGTTTCTTGTTAATTAACAACGTATGCACATTGAAAAACATAGTCATTGAGAGGATATCCTTATCACGGATATACTTTAATGAGTTTTAATGACAAAATTGAAATCAAAACGAATAGATCAAGATAGAGATTTTTTTTCCTATTATGAATTTTTTCGAGCTTAAATTTGGAAAATTTCATATTATATTATTATTATTATTATTACTATTAAATGATTTCATTCTTATAATACGAATGATAATATCTAAAGAAATTTTCGATAATTTTATTTACGTATTATTAATTAACGTGAAACTTAATATATTTTATCCATAGGATATTATATATATATATATATATATATATATATATATATATATATATATAAAATGTATTCGATAAGAAATAATTATATAGAGAATAAAAAAAAGAAAAAGAAAAAGAATAAAAGAAAAATAGAAAATATCAAACGTTAAAACATTGATCAAGTAGAAATGATTTTCTACCATTGAATTTTATTAATTTTTTATTCTTCAAAATGAAGAACGATGAATGACAATTATAGGGAAAAGTTAATCGTAGGAGGATTAACGAAAGGTATAGAGTTTAATTAGTAACGTACGGTATGTTCTGAACGATAATCCGAAAATGTTCGCGTTTACCGCGAAAACAATAATTACGACGAAGATTGGCTCTCGCGGTAATGAATATTCTGGCAGATTGGTACCGCGATGCCGAGAGAGAGAGAGAGAGAGAAAGAGAGAGAGAGAGTGTGTATGTGTATGTGAGAGAAAGAGACGGATTGAGGGTGAGGGAGAAATAGAGAGGGTGAAAAGGGGGAGAGAAGTAGAGAGGAACGACGTTCCCCAACGGGTAACGTGGCCACGATCAATAATAATTATGCCGACATCGTCGTTCTACGTCTATGTGCACGCACCTCGTAGTTCGATCCACCCGTTATTTCGAGCGTGCCACCACCGATGCCGTTAATGTGCCGGCAAAGCGAGGAAACGACGAGAGTTAGGGGTTGGTAAGGGAGGGTAAGCGGATCGGTCGATCGGTAGTTTTAGCAAGAAAGATTCGAATTTTTAATGATAAAACCAAGTCACCTTCTTCGTTATCATAAATTGGGGTTAATTCTATGTAACGTCGTATCGTTGACCGGATCCGGTACGAGTTGACGAAAAAGAAAAGAAAAGAAAAGAAAAGAAAAGAAAAAAAAATCGTCTTACGAATGGACAAACTTCGAACAAAATTATAAAATTATTTCGTTCTATATCGTTTTTTTTTTTTTTATCTTAATCGATAATGTTATTTTATTGGAAGAACTATAAAAAAAAATAAAGAAAAGAAAAGAAATACAAGGCAGTATAAAATTGTAAGATGTGATAAGATATGACAGGATTATGCGCGTGTACGCTTGCGTGGGTTTGTATATTTTCATTTCTTTCTTTTTTTTCTTTCCCCCTCCTCCTTTTTTTTTTTTTTTAATCTTTATTTATTTATTAAAACGAGTCGCGTGTGCTATGAGATCTTAAAGATTATTTTTATCAATTTATATCATACTATATGAATATAAATGTGTTGCATATATATATATATAAAATTACAATAATTTAATACTATATTCATACTATTACTGTATATTTTTTTTTTGTTACAAATTCACTCATACAAGATTATTAATTATAAAATAATATTACTAAGATTCAATGAGAATCTTGAAGATTTCTATTCGTCTATTCGTCGTATATAATTAATTTCTTTAATTAAATGAAATTAATGAATTTTAATCGAATGAATGAAATTTAATTTTCTATTAGAAAAAGTGGAAAACGATCGTCCTTTTTTTTCTTTCTTTTTTTTTTTTTTTTTTTTTTCTTCTTCTCCCAACTGAATGAATTAAGAATTTTATTTGAGAGAAGGATGAAAATTTTTGTGAACAATAGTCCGACAATGAGAAAAATATGACTTAAATGCACGGAAAGGAGAACAATCTTCCGTTTCACTTTGACATACGAGAAAGAAAAAAGGAGAGAGAGAGAGAGAGTGAGAGAGAGTGAGAAAGAAAGAGAGAGTTACGAATAGCGGAAGAATGTAATCTCATTGCGAAATTCTCATCCAAAGAGAGGCACTGACAAATGACTCGTCGGCCCGATTACCGTTGCGATTTTAACGCGAGCTTAATTAGACGCCGTCGTGGCAGCATTCCTGACGGATTGACCCGGGCACGTAACGCTCTTTCTTCATCCCCCTTTTTATTCTCGTTTCCTTTTATTTTTCCTTTTATTTTCTTCTTATTTTATTTCTTTATTTTTTAGCTTTTCGTTTCCTTTTTTTTTTTTATTTCCCCTCTTTGTTTGTCCTCCTATTCTCTTTTATTTATTTCTTCTTCCATCCCTATCCCATTCCCTATCCATTTTTCCTTTTATTCCCCCATTCTTCCTTTCTTTCTACAAAGTAAATTAATGGTTTGAACGGATCTTTTGCGGGTTGGTAGGTAAATAGGTCATACTTCCGGTTGAATCGTTCTTTTAACGTTTAAAATGATCGCTGTTTCGAAGATTTTTCGTACCTTCGTAATCGTCTAAGCCTTGATATTAATCAAAGGAGAGTCTCCCTATAAAAAAGTAATTTCTCATCTCCTAACGCAACGGGACCCTTTAGCAGCTATCTAAAGCACCACAAGGAGCAAACCTTTTCTTCTATACTCTTTTCTTCTCCTTCTTCTTCTTCTTCTTCTTCTTCTTCTTCTTCTCATCTCTTTTCTTCTCTTCTCTTTTCTTCTCTTCTCTTCTCTTTTCTTCTCTTTTACGAAGCTCAGCAAACGGCTCGCTCTTTCCATCGTCCACAACGGATGCGCGTTCGGTTCAAGAAAATTTCCATTACTCGAGCTCGAAACTTTTTAAACAAGTTTCTCTTAGTTACGAGAAAGTTAATTTGCGTTGCCGTCCTGGCACGAGTGATTTAATTACTTAATAATAAACCAACCTGAAGGAGAATGGGAAAGAAGGGGTTTACGATGGCTGGCGATACGATGACGCGATGAAGGGAAGAAGTAAAGTATCTTGTTTGATAATAACGAAGATAAAGGGACAAGGAATATAGGAGGGATTGGGGGTGGAATGGAGGGGGGGGGGGGACAGGGAAAGGAAAAGATAAAGTAAGAATAAAGAAGTAACGGAGTAACGTTTTCGATTGGATATCCTGTCGGGATCGATAATTCCTAGAGTTATTTCATTTACGGTCGAAAACGACTAAATCGAATTATAGGTACGTTAGATTAATCGATACTATTTATCTTTGTTTTTCGTCAATGTGTGCTCTTGCTAATGGAAAAATAAATTTTTAAGTTGCACTCTTAAGTATCGTTATTTTACATCGATCCTCTCTTTCATCTGGTTTTTTTACTCAGATAGTAATGTATCCGGATCGTTGAAAATAAACGTTAACGTCTGTGTATCGTTCGTTTAGATCAAAAAAGGATTTAACGCGACGTTAAAAAAAGAAAAAAGAAATTATACGAAATCCTTAAATGATTATTAATGATATGTTGTAAAATGTTAAATGGTGAAAAAGAAAAAGGAGACACTGTGATTTTTTTTTCTTTTTTTTTTTTTTTTTTTTTTTTTTTTTTGGAATTTCATCAAATTTCAATTCTATTCGATTGAAAATAATTTGTTTGATATTTACGCAATATGCAATATGATATAGAAATAACCATGTATTTCATTATAAAATACATTTTATATCTTCTAATTATTTATTTATTTATTTATTTTTTTTTTTTCTGTAATAGAATCTTTTTACATAAATTTTGTGAGTAATTTAAAGTTTTCGACAAGAAATAGAAAAAAAAAACATTCGTATTACGTAAAACGTGAAATAGAAGAGGAAAGATACTTCTTTTTTGTCTTTATTCGTAGCCTCGAGAAAAAAAAATAAGGGAAGAGAAAAAGAAAAAAAAAAAAAAAGAAAAGGAAAGGAGGAAAAGCATTTAAGAAATTCTACGTGGCAACCGAAGATTTTCGGGACACGTGCGACGATAATCAAGGCTCAAAAGGACGAGTTCGTTAATTTTGTCATTCGTCACGTCCCACAGGGTCTTCGTCGTTGTTTCATAAGGTTC